GATGCACGCTGACCACCAGGGGGCAGATGCTCAATGCAGGAGCTGCCCCCTGGTGGTCAGTGTGTTCCCACAGTGGGAGCGCCATTTGGCTGATCGGGATGAGCGGCGCTTCCACAGCAGGAGCAGCTGCTCAGAGGGTGGGTCCACAGTCGCTCAGCTGACCAGGATGAGCAGCACTCCCACAGTGGCCAATCACCGCAGGCCACGCCCCACCATTGCACGAATCCGTGCACGGGGCCTGTAGTCTATATATAAAAGCCTAAGTGACCATTACGACCAGACAACCAGCCAGTAGCTATGATGCGCACTTACCACCAGGGGGCAGATGCTCACTGCAGAAGCTGCCCACTGGTGGTCACTGCGCTCCCATGGCTGGCCAACCTCCCACGGTCCCTGCCCCCAGACAGCAGGCTCCCATCAGGATTGGGCAAGACCGCCCCGATCGGCCCTGATCACCGGTCAGTCCGAGGGGCCCCACCCATGCATGAATTTGTGCATGGGTCCTCTAGTATATGATAAGAGATGATGAACAAGCAAAACCTATCAATTAGGAATAAAAAGTTACTAACATAAACACCTGCCACTGTCCCGTAGTATAAAGACACCACAGAGAGATGGGAGCCACAGGTAGAAAAGGCTTTAAAGAGTCTCTTAGTGGAGGGCACCCTCAGGATGATGGTCCCTATATGGATATATGAGCCCACAATAATACCAAAAGGCACAAAGAAAAGCATTCCACCCTCAGTGAATATGACCAGCTTATTCAGGGAGGTGTCTGGACAGCTCAGTTTCAGAAGTGCAGCGAGGTCACAGAAGAAGTGGGTGATGGTATGGTCTGCACAGAAGGACAGTTGGGCCAATAGGAAGGTGTGTAACAGGGCACTGCCACAGGAGAGAATCCAGGAGCCAGCCACCAGCAGCACACACAGCCCCTCCCTCATGATGGTGGTGTAGTGCAGAGGGTGACAGATGGCCATGTACCTGTCATATGCCATCACAGCCAGAAGAAATCCCCCCAAAATAAGAAGAAGTACACCTGGGAAATGCATCCAGCATAGGAGATGGATTGATCCTGAGTATACATATTCATGAGCATCTTTGGAGCTGTGACTGATGAAAAGGAGATGTCAGTGAAGGCCAAGTGGCTGAGGAAGAAGTACATGGGCGTGTGCAGGCGAGAGTCCAGCCTGATGAGCAGGATGATGAGCAGGTTGCCCAGCACCGTGGTCAGGTACATGCCCAGGAACAGGGTGAAGAACACGCCCTGCTGCCCTGGCGGGATGGGGAGCCCCAGGAGGAGGAACTGGGACACGCTGCTCTGGTTCTCAGGCCTCATGTTCCTCTTGGGTCTGCTGGGGATGAAAGGACAGTGTAAAAAGGTAAAATACTTCCAAAGTGTGATTATGGCCACCACTGTAGGGTCTTCTACTTTCTCCTGGAGAAAAATACTATCCTTGCATACACATAATCAGCTAGAGCTGCCATAGCAAGCAACATACCCTCAATGCCCAACATTGATTTTTTCAATGAAACTAGAGCAAATTCATTCTTCTTAATTTTTTAATTAGACAGGTTCCTGGCACCATGCTACTAATTGGAAATGCACGAATAAATGGGACACACAGGACCTCTTCCCTCAGCCCCCTGACCCTCTGGGCACCCCTGACAGAGGACTGAGTAAATGTGAAGCTCTGCAGCCAGATTCCTTGTGCTGCAAGTCTGGCCCCACCACTTTCTGGGTGGATGAGTTGAGGGGGTGATTGTCTTCGCCTCATGTTGTGCCACAGTAGGTGGTGATACCAATGTCACATATTCCTAGAGGATTCCAATTCAAGACACATTAATATCTAGGAACAGTGTCTTGTATAAAATAAACACAAAATAATACCCATTATTTTTATCTGAGCTCTCACCCTCTCAAGAGGCATTTCGGAGTGCATATCCTGTCATTGGGTCAATCTTCCGGTGAAACAAGTCTAAATGCACATCCATCTATTTGCCAAGAAATAAACTTACTTACCTCAGTGCATCTATCTCCATCTGTACCGGGTGCTTCATGCTGGCTCAGAAATGAGGATCCATAGGCAGGAAACACCTGAGACCTGAGATCTGGCAGGTGAGACTGGGGACTCTGAAGGATGGGAAGTGTCTATTAGGATTCACAGTTACCTGACTGACCATCACTATTTCTAGTACCGATCTTCACATTTATAATAATTGACATTTAGTGAACACTCTGTCAAACCAATACATTTTTGCATTATTGCCTCATTAAATTTTAAATAATCCCAGAAGATAGCTGTTATAAAACTTCATCATATACATACTCAGAAGGAGTGAGAACTATCATGATCACACAGTTAGTTACTGCTGTAGTCTCAATTCTCTCATGTTTCTTAGATTTATTGGAATCTCTGCTCCTATAACGCTTCTGTTTATCCCTTTCTTTAATTAGACAAAAGAGCCAGGACCTTAAGCAATATGGTCTCAGGATTTGAGGGAGTCCTTTTGCTCAGACAGTGGTCATATTCCTACAGCCCAGTAGTTTGCAAATGATTTTCATGTACTTCCGGTTTCATTCCATCCACCAATGTTTGTTCTGTGTCTGCGAAGTAGGGAAGACAGAGATTTTTGTTCTATTACTCACTACTAACAGGAGTAGTGAAATGGCTTACACAATTTCACATAGATACTGCCCAGCAGGGCCTGGTCTCAAAGGTAGACTTTCTGATCATCTTTTCACTGAGAAGAGAATTCACCCATTTCTTCCTGTGGGAGGTAGAAAGGTTAAGCTAAAGTTGAATGTCAAAATACCCATACTTTTGGGAGAGGAACTTGGCATTAATATTGTTGTGTGGGTGTGTAAAAAGGTTAAGTAATCCCAGTAAATAACTAGGATCTCAAACATCTCCTGGAAGAGACCCATTTCAAGGAAAGGGAACAATACAGAAATGGTACCTTGATTCTGTCAGCACCATGAGTGAAAGAGGTGGCTGGGAGACACTCAGTAATAGAGAGGAGAAGCGGCTGCCTGGAGGTCCAGGGGAGTCTTTGGATGGGCCAAATTTTCCTGTCAGGTACCAGGTATTGTCCCCTAGCATTCAGAAAATGGAGATTCAGGTGTCATGGCCTCTACAGGCTACAATTTACTAAGTGCTTACAATGTGCTAGAACCGAAAGGTTAAGCTAAAGTTGAATGTCAAAATACCCATACTTTTGGGAGAGGAACTTGGCATTAATATTGTTGTGTGGGTGTGTAAAAAGGTTAAGTAATCCCAGTAAATAACTAGGATCTCAAACATCTCCTGGAAGAGACCATTTCAAGGACAATATAGAAATGGTACCTTGATTCTGTCAGCACCATGAGTGAAAGAGGTGGCTGGGAGACACTCAGTAATAGAGAGGAGAAGCGGCTGCCTGGAGGTCCAGGGGAGTCTTTGAATGGGCCAAATTTTCCTGTCAGGTACCAGGTATTGTCCTCTAGCATTCAGAAAATGGAGAGCAGGTGTCATGGCCTCTACAGGCTACAATTTACTAAGTGCTTACAATGTGCTAGAACCTAAGCACCTTACAGACAAGATTCCATAGTGATTGTAATTATTCCCATTTGACAGTGGAGGCTGATGAGCATGTACGACCACAAAGCTATTAAGTGGGAAAAAGACAAAGAATTAAGTGTAGCCATAGGTGACCTGGAGACACTCAGTAATAGAGAGGAGAAGCGGCTGCCTGGAGGTCCAGGGGAGTCTTTGAATGGGCCAAATTTTCCTGTCAGGTACCAGGTATTGTCCTCTAGCATTCAGAAAATGGAGAGCAGGTGTCATGGCCTCTACAGGCTACAAATTATAAGTGCTTACAATGTGCTAGAACTTAAGCACCTTACAGACAAGATTCCATAGTGATTGTAATTATTCCCATTTGACAGTGGAGGCTGATGAGCATGTACGACCACAAAGCTATTAAGTGGGAAAAAGACAAAGAATTAAGTGTAGCCATAGGTGACCTCAGATATGAGCATTTAGTTTCTAAACTATGTAACAAAGTTGAATAAGAAGTTCAAAAATATTGGGCTTCGGGGATGCTCCTATATTACTCAAATCACTAAAAAATGGTCCCCAACAGATCTTCAAAATGGGCTTTTCTTTTTAAGCTGCCTGTGTGGGTTCTAATCTGTAGCTATGGTGAGTCCAAATGTATGAAAGTAAGATGGGGGTTTTTTTGTTTGTTTATTTGGCCTTTTTCAGTATCTTGGTTTTAAGTCTCCATCCTACATATCTTCTGTGTGAAGGAAGTCAAGGTGTGAGTTTGTTACATACAAGAGCACTCACACACTATCCAGCCTTGCCAGATGGAGACTTACAGACTTCCCTGGCTTACACTCAAGCTAAGTAAATACAGCCAGAGTGTGAGTCAACATCACACAAATCTATGCAAAACTCACACAAAATACACTCACACTGTGCAACACAGTTGCGCACACGTAACTATCAAGCATCCTCCACCACACACATTGCAGTCATAGGCAGTCACACATTCAAATCACAAGTGATGCACAAGGTCTTCCATGCAGCACACAGGCAACAAAACACAAGTAAAATAAGACACACATCGCTGAGGAAACTTTCCGCCTTCTCTGACTTATCCATGTCCTCGGTGGAGGCATTCAGTGTGTGAGTAAGTGACACACATACACAAAGTCATACAACACACACACACACACACACACACACACACGACTATGGAGATTTCTGGTTCCCTTCTAATCTATACCAGGGCTGTGAGTTCTGATACCTTGTGCTTTGTGCTGTCTCCCGAATCCTCAGTTTCTGTGCAGGAGACCCAGGCTTAAAGGAAAGGGGAATAAACCTTTATGGCCCTAGGACCTTTACAGACTCTCATGTTTGTTCACCAGCTTCAAAACAACAGGCAGAACATCCCCTGTTAGTAGCAGAAAGAGACCCCAAAGGGAGACAGCCCCAAGTCCCTGAGTAGAGCAGCAGTCATTTGAGATAACTGCCCAACCTCCTCCTGGCCCCTTGGGATGGAACATGTTTAGGGGCCAGAGGAGCTGAGCTGTACCTGGAGTCCCAGGAGAAAGTGTTCTTAATGTCAGTCATATCTCGGGCCTCTGGTCAAGTCTCTGGATGGGAAGCAGGAGGTTCCCAGTTGCTGGTGGCCTCTGCATCACAATTTCAGCTTCTCTGCACAGCAGTGAATGGCCCAGGCAGTGTACGGGCTTCAGCAAGCTGGCAAAACACTACACAGACATCTGTTCCAACACAAAGCCCCTTCAAATGTATTGGTGTCCCCATCCTGTGTGGGGTCCTATAGGGTAGGGTCTGTGCCTTGTTCAGGGGCAATGGGATTGAGTCTGTCGGCTCTGGGAAAAAGACTCTGGGCTCTGTCCCCTTACAAAGAGAGCATGTCTGAGAGATTTATCAAAGATCTCTGAGACCTGGGTCCTTCAAAGTAGGAATAATAATAATAGTAATACTCTTCAGGTGAGTTTGAGGGATGATTAAATGAGCACATAATGGAAGCTTAATAAATGTTTAGAATTATTGTCAATGTCTGTGTAACACTAAGTATCAGCTATGGCTGAAATAGGCACTGGGTAATGTTGAGTGAATTCATTTGTTCATTCATTGACACGTTCTCTTAAATAATTACTAAGGTTCTCACAAATGTAAGATATATACTCTGGAGACACAGCAGTGAATAAAACAAACAGAAATTCCTCTTGGAGAGCACACATTCAAGCAGGGGGAGCAGAAAACAAATTTTAATTAAAAATATGGTCGGTAAATGGCAAAAAAGTGCTGGGGTACAACAAAAATCAGGGTTGCAACTAGGAACAATCTCAAATGTCCATCAACAGATGAATGGGCAAAAAAAGCTGTGGTACATCTAAACAATGGAATACTACTTGCCAATAAAAAGCATGATCTAATGAGCTCAAAGAATGTACCATGTATTGATACATATTAAACATAGATGAATCTCAAAATGCTTATGCTGGGTGAAAGAAGACAGCAATAAAAGAATATATTCTGTATGACCCATTTAGATAAGCTTCTAGAAGGTGCAAACTAGTTGATGTGACAGAAACAGATCAGTGGTTGCCCTGGGGGACAGAGGTGAGGAGCAAAGAGGCAGCAGGAGGTAGGCTTGGGGAAACTTCGTGGTCCTGACAGCTTGTAGTCATAGCTTAATGGGTGTATACATATGTCAAAACTATCCAAATTGTATACTTTCAATATATTAAACTTATTATATGTCACTTAAACCTCAAAAAATCTTGGTGTTTTTATTTTTTTCAATGTATCTTTATTAGTTGGAAGCATTACACATGTCTCCTTTGTATTTTTTCACATTGACCCCCTCCGTCCCACAACCCTCCTTCCATGCCTTCACCACACTATTGTCTGTGTCCATGGGCTATGCATATATGCATATAAGGTCCCTGGTTAATCACTTCCCACCCCCGCTCCCCCGCCTTCCCTCTAAGATTTGTCAGTCTGTTCCATGCTTCTATGTCTCTGGATCTATTTTGTTCATCAGTTTTTCTTGTTCATTAGATTCAACATATGAGTGAGATCATGTTATACTTACTTTCCTTTTTCTCATTTTTTAAATTAAAAAATTAAATTATAGTTTACGTACAATATTATTTTGTATTAGTTTCACATGTACAGCATAGTGGTTAGACAATCATGTACTTTCCAAAGTGTTCATCCTGATATTTCCAGTACCTACTAGGCAACACACAGTTATTACAATATTATTGACTATGTTCCTTATGCTGTAATTTATATCTTCATGAGTATTTTGTAACTTCTTTTTATTTTTTAAAATTTATCTTTATTGTTGAAAGTATTACAGATGTCCCCTTTTTCCCCATTGACCCCCCTCCACCCCGCTGCCACCTCCTCCCCATGCCTTCACTGCTCTATTGTCTGTGTCCATGGTTATGCATAAATGCATATTAGTTCTTTGGTTAATCTCTCCCTGTCCCCCCCCACCCCCTTTTCTCTGAAATACGTCAGTCCATTGCATGCTGGGTCTCTTTTGTTCATCAGTTTATTTTGTTCATTAGATTCCAGGTATAAGTGAGATCATGTGTTACTTGTCTTTCTCTGACTGGCATAACACTCTCCAAGTCCCTCCATACTGTCTCAAAGGTTAAGAGACCCTTCTTTTTACAGCTGTATAGTATTCCATTCTGCAAATGCACCACTGTATTTTTTATCAATTTACATACTGATGATCATTTGAGTTGTTTCCAGATCTTAGCTATTGTAAATCATGCTGCTATGACCATGAGGGTGCATATATTGTTTCTGGTTGGTGTTTCAGACTTCTTAGGATATATTCTGAGAAGTGGGATCGTGGGATCAAATGACAGTTCCATTTTTTATTTTTGGAGGAAACTTTAACTCTTTTCCATAGTGGTTGTACCAGTCTACATTCCCACTAACAGTGTACTAGGGTTCCTTTTTCTCCACATCCTTGCCAGCACTTGCTGTTTGTTGATTTATTGATGATGTCATGCTGGCAGGTGTGAGGTGACATCTCATAGTGGTTTTAATTTGCATATCTCAGATGATTAGTGATATTGAACATTTTTTCATATGTCTATTGGCCATCTGTGTGTCCTCTTTAGAGAAGTGTCTGTTCAGGTCCTTTGCCCATTTTTTTAACTGGATTGTTTGTTTTCCTGGTGTTGAGTTGTAGACGTTATTTACATATTTGGGAAATTAACCCCTTATCAGATGTATTATTGGCAAATATGTTCTCTCATACAGTGGTTCCCTTTCCATTATGTTGATGGTTTCTTTTGCTGTGTAGAATCATTATATTTTCATGTAGTCCCATTGTTTATATTTTCCTTTCTTTCCATTGCCCTAGGACATATAACAGCAAAAATATTGCTACGAGAAATGTGTCAGATTTTATTGCCTGTGTTTTCTTCTAGGATTTTTATGGTTTTGCGACTTACATTTAAGTCTTTTACCCATTTTGAGTTAATTCTTTTGTATGGTGTAAGTTGGTGGTCTAGTTCATTTTTTTTGCATGTATCCATCCAATTTTCCCGACACCATTCATGAAGAGATTGTCTTTACTCCATTCTATGCTCTTCCCTCCTTTGTCAAATACTAATTGACTAGAAAGCCATGGGTTGACTTCTGGGTTCTCTGTTCTGTTCCATATATTCTATATTCCTGTTCTTATGCCAATGACAGGCTGTTTTGATTATAATGGCCTGGTAGTATAGTTTGATATCGAGTATTGTGATGCATCCAACTTTGTTCTTTTTTCTTAAGAATGCTGAGGTTCTTGGGGACATTTTGGTTCCATATAACTTTTTGGAATATTTGTCCTAGATTGGTTTGGGTACTATGGACATTTTAATGATGTTAATTTTTCAGATCCGTGAACAAGGTATATGCTCCCATCTATTTGTATTTACCTCAATTTCTTTTTTTTCCTTTCTTTTTAAAAAAACTTTATTGTTTAAATATTACATATGGCCCCCTTTTTCCCCATTGACCTCTTCTAGCCCGCCTGCACCACCTCCCCCCACCCCAGGCCTTCACCACTCTAATGTCTGTGTCCATGGGTTATGCATACAATTTCATTGGTTGATCTTTTTCCACCCATTCCAACTCTCCTGCCTTCCCTCTGAGGTATGACAGTCTGTTTGATGCTTTTGTGTCTTGGATCTATTTTTGTTCATCAGTTTATGTTGTTCATTATATTCCACAAATGAGTGAGATCATGTGATATTAGTCTTTCTCCGACTGGGTGGAGAAAGGGACCCATTACAACAAACTCTTATTTGGGACCCATAACAACAAACTCTTATTTCGCTTAGCATAATGCTCTCCAGGTCCATCCATGCTGTTGCAAATGGTAAGAGTTCTTTCTTTTTTAGAGCAGTGTAGTATTCCATTGTGTAGATGGACCACAGCTTTCTTTTTTTTTCTTTTTAATTTGTATTTGCCATAACCTTTTAAAGCAGAATGTGACAAGAGCACTGCATTTCTATTCACAAAACTTGCTCTGAGTTACTTTCAAACGGCTTTACAACATATGCCTAGGTAGCTTATATTTCTGCTATGCTACACAATCCTTTAGAGACAAACCCTATGGACAGTTACTACCATCCTGTTGGTCAGCTTAGCATACTAACTTCTAGAGGCCATACTAGTACATGCAGTTGATAACTACAGGGGATGTCAGGCTTAAAAAGTAGATCTTAGGGGATGAAGGTTGTTTCACAGCTTTCTAATCCACTCATCTGCTGATGGGCACTTAGGCTGTTTCCAGATCTTAGCTATTGTAAATTGTGCTGTTATGAACATAGGGGTGCATATACCCTTTCTGACTGGTGTTTCTGATTTCTTGGGATATATTCCTAGAAGTGGGATTACTGGGTCAAATGATAATTCCATTTTTATTTTTTTGAGGAAACTCCATACAGTTTTCCACAGTGGCTGCACCAGTCTGCATTTCCACCAGCAATGTATGAAGGATCCATTTTCTCCATATCCTCACCAACATTTGTCATTTGTTGATTTGTTGATGATAGCCATTCTGACAGGTGTGAGATAGTACCTAATTGTCATTTTGATTTGCATCTCTCGGATGATTAGTGACTTTGAGCATTTTTTTCATATGCCTTTTGGCTTTCTGTATGTCCTCTTTGGAGAAGTGTCTATTTAGGTCCTTTGCCCATTTTTAAATTCAAGTGTTTATCTTCCTTTTGTTAAATTGTATGAGTTCCCTATAAATTCTGCATATTAACCCCTTATCGGATGTATCATTGGCAAATATGTTCTCCCATGCAATGGGTTCTCTTGTTATTTTGTTGATGGTTTCTTTTGCTGTGCAGAAACTTTTTATTTTGATGTATTCTCATTTGTTTATTTCTCCTTAGTTTCCATTATCCTAGGAGTTGTATCAGGAAACATATTATTGCTATGAGAGATATCTGAGATTTTGCTGCCTATTGTTTGTTCTAAGATTTTTATGGTTTCACGTCTTACATTTAAGTCTTTTATCCATTTTGAGTTTATTTTTCGTGTATGGTGTAAGTTGGTGGTCTAATTTCATTTTTTTTGCATGCATCTGTCCAATATTCCTAAAACCATTCATTGAAGAGACTGTCTTCACTCCATTGTATGCTCTTGCCTCCTTGGTCAGATATTAATTGAGCACAATAGGCTTTATGTTTCTTATTATTTATTTACCACAAGAAAAGGTCAAGAATTGTTATCTTTCTTTTAATTTTTTTTCTGTTTCACTATATTACTGCTGTGTATCTGCTCCATGTGAGTGACATAGGTGCTTATGTATCTGGGTTCTGACTTACGGCAAAAACCACGTTACGTCGCGCCATAGGAATGGATCTCCGATGTAACCTGAAGACCTACTGTAACCACAAGAAAGCTGCATCTTGACTATACTATACTGTACTGTGCTATACTATACTATACTAGTATCTATATCTCTATCTTATCTATATCTGTATATGTATCTATACCTATCTCTCTCTATAAAAGGCTAATATGCAAAGTGTCCCCTCGGGAGTTCGACCAAGTGACGGGGAGTTTGATTGCTCGCTATGATGTGCGCTGACCACTAGGGGACGGCGTGGAATGAAGGAAGGACCCGGCTGGCAGCCAGAAGGCCCCGATCAGCCCTGATTGCTGGCCAGGCCTAGGGAACTTACCCATGCAGGAATTTCATGCACCAGGCCCCTAGTATTGATATAAAGCATTTATATTAATATCAGAAGTAGATAAGGTGTTAAGGTAGGGACCCATTACAACAAACTCTTCCTAATTATAAAACTAGTGGCGTGCTCTTAAATGCATTCCTAAAAAGTCTCTTTTTCTAACAGCCTTGCTTTGTAGCATATACCAATTTTTATAGTGTAACTATTCTTATCATGGCTGATTACAGTCGGCCAACATAATTAGCCAGAAGCCAACAAAAGCCAGCATAAAAAAAATCAGTTCAAAAAAAAGAAAGATCACCAGGCACAGATCATGATGCTAAATAAGTGAGTGTTCTACAACATAACAACATTAAAAATGGGTGGGAGCGAAACCAAAGCCTGGCTCAGAATAACAGAAGCACGGCAGCTGCCGAGGGCTTCTCTGGCCAGTGGCTCTCCCTCCAGTCTACAGCACGAGGAATATCTTTGTGAACCTCTTCAAGGGCCTTTTTGGCAAAAAAGAAATGCGCATTCTCGTGGTGGGCCTGGACGCTGCGGGGAAGACCACCATCCGGTACAAACTGAAACTGGGTAAGATCATGACCACCATCCCCACCACTGGATTCAAAGTGGAGACTGTGGAGTATAAGAACATCAGCTTCACTGTGTGGGACTTGAGTGACCAGAACAATATCTGGCCTCTGTGGCGCCACTACCTCCAGAACACACAAGGTCTCATCTTTGTGGTTGACACCAATGAACGATAGCATGTGAACAAGGCACGAGAGAAGCTTATGTGGATGCTGGCAGAGGAT